AAAAGCCCTTTAGGTTAAAAAGTATCCCCAATCTCCAGATGAGACAAATAGAGTTCAGAGAGCCTTAACGACTGGGACCAAGGTTCAGTGGTGGATGCAGGATTCCAGCCCAGCTCTGCCAGGCTCCAAAGCCCTGCTGAGTTGACATTCATCTTCCAAACAAGGAAAACTAGTCTGTGACTTTTGCATTTCACCTTGGTTCCACAATCCTTGGGGAACTTGCTTAAAGTAGTCAGATCCTTTAATATATTTTCAAGTCTGAGAGACAGACTGAGATGATAGCTCGGTGCTGAAGATTTCTGAGCCCAACTTCCCCATAGTTGAGCTGGCATTTGTAGTCCTATAGCTTCTAGTAATCCACTTTTAATTAATTGTGAAACTGTTGAGGAAAAGCAAGTGGTATTCTGGTTTGGGAAGCTTCCATTTTTTATGGCAGCACTTTTCCTTCAGACTTATAAAGCTGAATGTCCTGCATAGGTATAATAAGTGAGCATGGAACCCAGGAGAGGCAAGAAGAAATACAAATGCTGCATGCAAATTCTGAACTTACTTGTTCTCAAAGCAAACCTCTGCTGTTCTTGCACTTAGGCTGTTATTTAGGATGATGTTAGAAACTTCTCAGGTTGTTATTTTTTCTTTCACTATGTGCTGTTATAGCCATACAAAGCATGCGGGTATCATATAAGTTAGTTATACAGCATAATAATAAACACTCATGGGCCCTGATTAAAGAATAAGAACATTAAAACCAGTTTTTGTTTGTTTACTCCTCTAACTCCAGGACCTGGTATGGTGCCTCGTATGTGATAGACACTTAATATTTTTAAATGAATGCATAAATCAGCTTGTATCCCCCTTCCTTATATCATTAACCACAGTCTCCCCTTAGAAATAACCACTATCCTATATTTGGGGTTTATTATTCCCTTGAGTGTATATGTTATTTTATATATATATATATATATATATATATATATATATTTATATGTGTGTTTGTTTGTGTGTGTGTGTGTGTGTGTATTACTTTTGCCTTTTTTTGGAACTGTATGTAATGGAATCATATAATATGTAGGCTATTGTGATTTATGTCTTTTATGCAACATTAGCTTGTGAGATTTACCTATGTGTACCTGTATTCTCTTCCTTGTCATTGCTGAATTGTGGTTTATTGAATGAGCATGCTGTAATTTATCCTTTCTCCTCTTAGTGGATTTTTTTTAGATTTTTATTTATTTATTAGAGAGAGAGATGGTGAGAGAGAGAGAGAGAGAGCACGAGCGGGGAGGGGGGAGCGGGGAGGGGAGAGTGGGGAGAGGGAGAAGCAGGCTCCCTGATGAGCAGGGAGCCCGATCCCAGGACCCTGGGATCATGACCAGAGCCGAAGGCAGACGCTTAACAACTGAGCCACCCAGGCGCCCCCTCTTAGTGGATGTTTATCATTTCTGCTTTTGGTAATAAAGCTGCTATGACCATTCCCACACATGCTTCCTGGTACAAATGTGCATGAGTTTCTCTAGGATATAAACCTGGGATAGAGACTCTGGTTGCAATTTTCATTTCCAATACCCAAAGTTCAGCCCATGAGGCAGAACTGAAATTTGCCTTTTGTCCACCCTAGGCCAGGGTCAGTGAGAGTGCTATCCAAAATATTTTGCCAGAAAAAAGGAGGGATAGGTAGGCAGACACCAGCCTGGAGAGTTTAACAGATATCCTGTAGTCAAAATGGGTTGTAATTAGGAAAAGTTCAGATTCTAAAATTGTCTTTATTATTTCCCTTCTTCTTCCTCCTTTTTATAGTTATTTTTGTAAATAGTGCATTTTATTAAACTTATATCTAATAAAATATTGATGACTTTCTTCAGTCTTTAAGCATTGATTATAAATTTGATTAGATTATTTTGAACAATTTGAACTGTATTTTAAAATGGATGAAAATTTCTGTTCCTTAAAGGCTCTTTTCAAAAAGACCTCTTATTTGTTCAGGTTTCCATATTGTATATCTAATATTTATTTTCCAATCATATGATAAAAATTACTATCATTATCATCATCATCTCATTTACCCCTATATACCTTTATACCTTCGAAAAAACATTCATGTCTTTAAAGTGCTTCCTCATCTACAGCAATCTGTACTCTGCTTTTTTATATCATCTACTATGTTATTTTACAGTTTCTTGCTTCCTGTCTGTCTTCTCTACTAGATAGTAGGTTTCTTAGAGGCAAGAATAATATATTGATTGTCACAATATCCCCAGCACCTAGCCCTTTGCTTGGTTCATAGGGCTAGGTGCTAGGAGTTGAGTCAATCTAATTTCAACCTTCAATTTTACAACATGGTTAGTCATGGGTTATGAATCGGCACTTTGGAGTCAGACTTAACTAGGATGGAATCTGGCATTCCCACTTATGAGATGAGTGGTCTTGAACATGTTCAATTTTCCTGAACATCAGCTTCCTCTCCTATAATATAGAGATGATATGGAGCTACCTGGCAGGGTTTTGGGGGGAGATTAAGTGAGATGATATATATGAAATGGCCAGGCACATAAAGTGCCTAAATATATGTTCTGTGTTTGTTTGTTTGTTTGTTTTACTTTATTTGAATGGCTAGCATTAGTTCCAGAAGTCAAAAAAAGAGGGAAGAGGATGAAGACACTTGCAAAAAATAAAAACAAAAAACTTCTGCTTCTCCTTGTTTCATGAATGAGGATGGGGATACATTTTTTACCTAAGGAAATGACATTTTTAGCCAAAGGAATAATGCTCTTAACATTTGGCCCATTTATATATGGGAAGTGAGCTATTTTCCTGTGGAACTTGTGGTCCTGCTAGTCTTGGTTTGGTGGACAAACTCCTGCTAGCTTTCCAAAGTCAAATTAGGAAAAGGAGAGCTTGTTGGGGGAAAAGATAGGCAACCGTAGCCAGCTGCTGGGTTTGCATATCAGCCAAACTTTTTGAGTGCTTTCTGTTGTACTTGGGACTTGAATAAAGGCTAATATTTGTGTCTTAGAGGTAAAGTGCTTGTCAACTATAGCTTAAGCTAAAATTTTCTTTGCCCTTGCCCTGCCAGGGCTGATCCATGGTTATTGAGGGGTGGATAACATTTCATGCTTTTTTGGATTCTTTTTTTTTTTTTGGATTCTGATGACTATGCTGAGCATGATAATCAAAGAGCCATGTGTAGAAAGTGAGAGAGTGGCAGGAAGATGATAGGATAATGAAAACTGTATTGGATTCGGAGCCAGATATCCTGGGCTTGCTGTCAAATCATTTTGGGTTTCACCTCTCTGAATCTTTCTTCATATGATATAATGAGAAAAAAAATGTTTCTCAGAGTTGTTTTGAAGTGTAGAAATCACCCAACACAGCAAGTAGGCTGTCATTAAGGCTTATTTTCCTTCCTTCCTTCCTTAGTAAGGAAGAAGTGCTCATAAAAAAATATGGCTGTATTCCTGTAGATGAGAATATGGGCAATTGTCATCTACCTTAGGCAGATTAACCCAGGAGGTCCCTCGAGGTTTGTTTTTTTTTTTTAAGATTTTATTTATTTATTTTTTTTATTTGACAGAGACACAGTGTGAGAGGGAACACAAGCAGGGGGAGTGGGAGAGGGAGAAGCTGACTCCCCGCTGAGCAGGGAGCCCGATGTGGGGCTCAATTCCAGGACCCTGGGATCATGACCCAAGCCGAAGGCAGACGCTTAAGGACTGAGCCACCCAGGTGCCCCCCTCGAGTTTTGTTCGATGCTTAGAGCATCGGAGAGAAAAAAAATGTGACCTGTGCTTAGAAGAACCGTGTTTCATTTGTTTAATCTTGAATTAATTACTATGGGAGACTCAGAATTGCACTTCTTTTAGGGTTTCAGGATTGGCTTTCTGACCCTCTCCTTCACATCCATCTGAAAGGACTCAGACCACAGATCTTCTTAGAGATAGGAAGTTTAGACTAGGTGACCCCTGAAGCTCCATCCTAGCCTAAGGACCCTATGAGTATTTTAATGGCCAAGTGTTGAGATGGTAGCGTGAGAAATTTCCAACATCCCTGTGTATCATTTCCCAACAAGAGCCTCAGGCACAAGGATTCTGCCAGGGGCCCCTGGGTGGCTCAGTCATTAAGTGTCTGGTCATGATCTCAGGGTCCTGGGATCGACGAGCCCCGCATCAGGCTCCCTGCTCAGCGGGAAGCCTGCTTCTCCCTCTCCCACTCCCCCTGCTTGTGTTCCCTCTCTAGCTGTCTGTCTCTCTCTGTCAAATAAATAAATAAATAAATAAAATCTTTAAAAAAAAATAAGGATTCTGCTACTTTGTGTTGTAGAATGGCGAGGGGATGTTCACGTGATCTACAAGAGATGGCTAAGGAAAGTGAAGGAATGGGGGGCAGGAGAAGACCAAATCAGACTGGTATGATAACATGAATCATGATCCCTCACTTGTGTATTCATTTTAAAGGATTTTTATCCTTTTATACAATTTAAACTGCCACTCAGAACAGTAGCTCAGTAGGTTGGGCAATATTATTGACAGGTGAGAGTGAGGCTTAGAGCAAAGCAATACCAAACTGTTTTGTTAAGACTTTTTTGCCTTAGATCTCCCTTTGGATAAGGAAAGGCCATAGAGCTGGGTTCATAACCATTTAACTCTCTGAAATTTTTGCCAGAACCACCTTAAGTTAGATACCTTAACCTCAGGTTTCTGTCTTCATCCTTCCTTCATGTAAACTTAGCCCATGAGACTGGCTGATCCCAGAGAACTTCTCGAATTCCTTAGCAGGATGCAAAAAGGCTCTGTCTACATGACAGGAAACCCTATAAACGTCATCCCTAGAAGTACCGGAAAAAAATCAGCTTCACACTGACTCAATTAAGTAAGGAATAATTTTATTTCATAAAAATTAATAATTTACACATATAAGTTTGCTCCTGAAGACCTCAGACTTTTGTGCTCTTATCTCTGCCAGCCACTGCCATTTATTTCATTGTTTCTCATGTGTCTTTTCAGTTTGGAGACTGCCAGGGACCATGTTCTACCCATTGACTATTACTTTCCACCCCAGAAGACCTGCCTGATCTGCGGTGATGAAGCTTCTGGCTGTCACTATGGAGCTCTCACTTGTGGAAGCTGCAAAGTCTTCTTTAAAAGAGCCGCTGAAGGTAAAGAGTCTTGCACACTCACTTCTTTTTCCCTCTCTCCTTTTTCTTCTATTGAGAGACACCAATCTTCCAGAGCCCAGGATTTTATCATCCCAGAGACAAGGTCACTGGTGGGACCCTCTCAAAGAACCTAAGAAGCTAAAGAAGAAGGTGTTGTTGTTGTTGTTGTTGTTTGTTTTTTCTGTTTTTGGAGGGTTTTTTTGGGTTTTTTTGTTTTTATTCGCTGGTCCCCTGGTTTTGGTAACCTTGGTAGTACAGCAGGCAACATGTAGTAAATGACGGTGATCCTATCTGGTGCTTAGAGCTTGGGGCAGTCCTAGGAATAGAAGAAAATTAATGATTCGAAAAGTTTTAACTCCTTCCCTGCTTGTGTTTCACTCTGCTGTGGAGTGAGGGGGGAAAATGTCTTGATTAGAGAAGTTAGAAGTGGAGAAACCCCAACTGAGTCCCCACCCATTCTCTATAGTGTATGTGGGACTGTTCCTTCACAAAGTCTCCTTGGCCTTAGCCCCAGAAAGGAAGTGTTCTTGCTGTTCAGCAGACCATCAGTCTGTGCGCCTGCTCCCTCCTGCTGCTGTCTCATTGGGACTTCTTTGCATCAATGGCCCCTAGGTAAATAGGGAGCCCGAGTGATAAAAACTCCTTTATTCTCTCCATAGACTTTTCCTCAGGGCCTATCCATTGGTATAGCACCTTATGCTAAGTTGCATCTTATATTTGGCTAAGTAGGCTCAAGCCCTGGCTTCTTAGTCTTATTTAGCTTAGAACAATTCAGGTCTGATCAGCTCCTAGAGGTGCTCAGCCTACATGCTACAGCAAGAACTCCCATTTCCAGACTTCCCATATATGCTAGTGATTCCTTCCTTCCCAATCAACCTGGGCTCAAACCTCCTACGCATCCTCTTCATTCCCCATCCTGTACTAAGGGCTTCTTTTCTCAACGGGACACTGATAAGCAGCCCCTAGACAGACATGCTCTGCTCTGGGGGCAAACCCAGTTGCCAAACACCAGTATCTACTCCTATTTCCACTTTCCACAAAGGAAATACTTCCTGCCAAACCTTTCCTTCTCTCTCACTGGCCTAGAGGTGTTGAGTTCCAAGTCAGAACAAAAACAGTCTTTCCTTAGTTAAGGGCTACAAACCCTGAGGACACTCTTAAAGGTGGCAGGTATATAAGCCACACCTTTTACCAGAAATGTCCACCAGAGGACAACGGAAGCTCCAGGGAGTTCTTGGCATTTAGATAAAAGGTGCAAAGCAGGTGTCCTTTACTGGTTTTCCCATTGACAGCCAATTGGAACGGTTGCCTTTTCATCATTTTAGACTGGTGGCAGGAATACTTACAAAACAGAAAATTGTTATTTTGTTTTCTTCCAGTCCCCAAAGCAACAAGGAGACAGCTAGCTTTTAGTATTACTGAAAACATGCTGCATGTTCCTTCCATACCCCCAAGTGGCCTATTGCTACTGCTTGTGCTGAGCTAGTATAAGGTATACTAGCTTATACTAGTGTAAGAAGGATGGCTATCAGAAAAGAAAGTAAGCAACAGCCCAAAGACAGCAGATCCCCCCAATTTCCCCAGTGAGAATGTGCTTCCTCCCCTGGCCCCAGCATCCAGTAGGCCCTGCCTGTAGAGCAGAGAACATACCAGAGCACTCATCTAGAGATAGTATGTCAGTAAGCCCAGGCACCACAGTAATAGCAGCCATTATCAGTTGGGGAAAGTGTTCAAGTATGCAACTGAACAAGCAAACTCAATAGTCAGATAGATTAGATTGTATTTGATGCTGCCTCTGGGCTTTACAGATCTGGGTCACAATATTGTTATTTTTGGAAAACCGGGAAAGTGGTCAAACATATTGTAAAAGGGACTATTTTGCTGTCATAACATATCCCACATGGGAGCTTTCTGCCGAAGTTAGGGCTGAAGGAGGAAGGGTAGAATGGCAGTTGTCAGGGCTTCCTGGGAGGAGCTGGGCTAGAGGTGGGTCTTGGGCTATTTGAGAATAAGGAAGCGGAAAGGGGTATTCACTCAACTTACAGAATACTGGGAAATCCAGCAAGGTCTCAAAATGCTCTAGACCCTCAAATCGCTTAAGTTAGGGAAACTTCCTAATTTTTTTCTTTGAGAAAATGAGCCTCTTTGAGCCCATGGGGCCAAATACTCTCAACTGCTTGAAATACAAAAAGTCACAAATGGATTTCTTAAAAAGCTACAAACCCCTTGGTTCCTTTGGAATATGAACCCCAGATTCCAGTCCTGAGTCCTTTGAGGGATAGAAGGTGGTTAAACACACACACACACACACACACACACACACACACACACATACATACACAAGAAAAACAAAGCAAAGCAAAAAAAAAGGCATTTTCTTTCTTCTCCCACCTGTAAAGCTTGTTGGCTGTAGTTTACTGCTGTCATTATCTCCGTTTGAAGGCAATGGGCTGTCTTATTATCCACAGAGAACATTTATTGATTTGTTTTTTCCCCCATTTTTACAATGTGTCCTTATCACCCCAATGGCCTTTATGAAAGTGATTCAGAATCTGCCTTGTTGAAACTTGGAATTCCACCTGTCTTGGAGAGAGTGGGAACACAAATCTTTCTTTTCCTCATTTGTTGTTGTCAGTTAAGTCAGACTGAGTATTCAGAGTGTTGATTACCACTTTATTCATGGTTTCAGAAATCTCTGGACTGGGCACAGGTACAAGACTTAAAAGCCTGGCACGTCAGACAGAAATCCATTTCTAGCTTTGGTAGTTCATAAAGCATGAGGCTTTAATGCTGTCACTGGTGCAAGGCTCAGCACAGAATCAATTGTAATCTAGCCAGGTTTTCCTATTGAGGAGGAGGAAGAGGAGAGAGCCCCACATTTTCTCATTGTCAGTGATTCTGGGAGTTTGGGGTGATGATTAGGCTAGTCAGGGAGGTAGCTGCATATTTTGAGATTAAAAAAAAATAATGATGCTAGGCCATGGTAAAATCACTAAAATCTGGTTGGTGAAAACTCAGTGTGTGTTTGTGTGCGTGTGTGTGTATATGTGCATACATGCTTGTGCAGTTGGAGGACGTTCTGTGGGCTAGAAATAGACATGAGGAGAATCAGCGAGTTGGTGGGGTGATGGGATGAGCAGGGAGGTGACAGGGGAAGGCATGTTGAATGGCATCTAAAAGGCCAGGAAATCAAAGGAAGGTGATGCCCATACACAGAAGTACGGGCTCAGAGGGGTTTTAGTTGTCTGGCTTTGATTAATTAATTTTCCTATTTAGACTTCAGTTTTCTCTGTAAAATAAGGGACTTAAGCTAGATTTTTTTTTTTTTTTTTTTTTTTTTTTTTTTAGAGAGAGAGAGTGTGAGCTTGAGTGGGGGGGAGGAGAAGAGAGAGACAATCCCAAGCAGGCTCCACGCCCGGTGTGGAGCCTGATGCCGGGCTCCGTTTCATGACCCTGAGATCATGACCTGAGCCAAAACCAGGAGCCGGATGCTTAATAGACTGAGCCACCCAGGTGCCCCCAGATATTTTTAATATGCCTTTCCAGCTTTGACTTTTGATGATGGTTCTACAAATTACATACATCATCACTGTCAAAACTATTACATCAGCAAATGAACATGCCTTTCTACCCATATGCACTTTTGATTTTGCCTTCCTAACAGTTGGTGAACCTTAGCTCCCATTCTTTTAAAAATCAATTTTCAGATGAGGATAGAGCCAGCTGAGAAAGTGCACTGTGGATGGGGCTAGGTTAAAATTCAGCACTCCGAGATTCCCCCTTCCCCCAGCATTGTGACCATAGTTGGATAACTTCCTTTCTTTTCCATTTTCTCATCTGGACAGTCAGGACATAAATCCCCATCTCTACCACATCATGTTTCAAAGAGGGTTAATTAGTTCATCATGTGCTCTGTGTGCTCAAGAATTTACTATTTTTCAGACATTTTCTAGTAAAACATTGGAGATTGTACATCCATTTGTTTTGTACACATGGAGTGCTGTTTGGTACACATCATAAAATTGAAACTGTAGTTTACATTCTGGACTCAAAGAATTACACCATCGTCACTGATGTTTACAATATGTCCCAATTTAGTATTCTTGGCAAATTTTATATAAGTATGGCTTTGATTCCCTCTCTCACCCCAGGTTTTTGTGAGGGAAGAGATGTAAGTGAACCCTCATTGAACTCTCTCTGTCCTTTAAATCCACTCTTTCCCACCTCAACTCATGTGGAATTGAATATTACTTCTTGTTTGGAGTCTTGCAGTTTTTCGTGTCTTTCAGTGTCCTCTTCACTCCCTGGCTTTTTGAGTAACATTTCCCAGGGACAAATGAACTATGTTAGGAAGATCTGCTTGCAGCTTCAACAGAGCCTTGATCAGGTATATTTGGCCAAGGAATTGACTGATCCTGATTGCACCGATCCTAGATAACTTTTCACAAAGTTCCTCTTATCTTTTATCTGTCTCAGGGTTTTCTAAATGTCAAAGCCAGACTTTAGATCAGGGTGTCAGCCAAATTTTTCTGTAAAGGACCAGATAGTAAATATTGTAGGCTTTGTGGGCCATATGGTCTCTGACTCAACTACTTAACTCTCCCTTTGTAGCCTGAAAGCAGCCCTAGACAATATATAACGTAAGCTAATGGGTGTGGCTGTGTTACAATAAAACTTGACTTTCATTTAATTTTCACATGCCATTCAATATATATATATATATATATATATATATATATATATTTGATATATTTCAGCCATTTAAAATCTAAAAATCCTTCTCAGCTCTTGAGCCACACAGAAACAAGTGGCACACTGGTTTAGCTTGTGGACTGTAGTTTTTGACTCCTGCTTTAGATGGTCACTCCTGTGCTTGCAAATCTGCATAGTAAATTTCACTTTTTCCCAGCTTCTGGTATTTTAGTAACTCTCTAGATTATCTAATTTTAAACATTCTTCCGAATGGCCAAAGTTTGCATGTCTTGTTTGTTCAGAATGCC